AAGCAGTGAAAACATTAGAAAACCCTAAGTAATACATACTTCCAAATATAGTACTAGAAAAAAACACCAATCCACGATTTTAATCGCATCAAGGACGACAATCGTCAATGTAGTGGAAGCTCATGAAAAAAGGTAGGTACGGGTTGTTGAATGCATGATGCGATTGAAATCGGAAATCGAGGGTTGGTGAATCTATTTAACGAAATAATGGACGTGTTTGGCCGACTGGGTTATGGGCAACCTGATTTTTCCGAGCTCTGAAGAAGGCATGAAACCGCCAAAGCGTCAGCTGTTTGAATAAATTGTATCATATCAACATCGACTCTTTGTTACAAAGGCACATGCATGGCTCAAAAAAGGATGATTATCAGGCGCATTGATTTGAGCGTGCTCTTAAGTAACACTCGAACATTCCAGCCAAGAACAATCGAGTGTAGTTAGTCACGCTCTTTCCTGACTATTTTCAATTTTAATCATAAAGTTCCAATAAAAGAGTTAAGTAAAGAAGGAAGAAGAAGTTGAATAGTTAAAATTCAAAAAGTATTAAAATATCCTCCAAGACAGACTATCTAGTAAAATCGCCATCCTCCAATGAATAACTCAGACATTTTCTTTGTATTCAAAAAGCCGAAGTTGATAAAGTACAATTTTTACGAACAACTTACGCTCCAGCGGTATACTAGCTTCTTCAGAACCTGGAAAGATCAGCTGACCCACAACCCAGCCAGGTAAACACCTTTATTATCATCACCTGTGTCACCTGCCGTTCCGCTGATCGTCGAGTGACTCGATCGGGTACCAGCAACACTCCCATTTTCCCTATCTCGTGCAAGAATAGTCCAGTGGATCCTCCTCGCTCTCGGGATTCATTGAGCATCATATATTTCTTCTAGGCTTTTCGTGAAAAAGCGAATCATTGGGTCCGTGGTTTTCCTGTAGAGTACTTGGCATCCAGAGGAATCCAGTCGTTAACGGCTCTCGTCCCCCAATCCACCTCATTTTCTATAGCCTGGCGTATAAAACGGGATCCTTTGATCGACGACCTTGGTCAGAATTTCGGATCCTTCCTTTTATTTGCAAGATACGGGATACTCCTAGCATTGACCTCGCGACTTCGCATTCAATGACGCCAAGTGATCTTTTATCCTGCTTACGTAGCGACTAGGTTTCTGCTGCATACGCTAGGGCAGGAATAATCGTTGAATCGAAAAGGTGGGCACGGAGACGGACGTTCATTTGCTTCACTAGGTCCTCGATGCTCTTTAATCTCCCTAAGCCGCGCGTTTCCTCCTGCTGAACTTTGGAGCTAAGTCGTTCATCACGACGACTTCACAACTTAGATTGATGCAAGTGGACCATTCGCAGGTGTTCGTTCCATCGATTATGTTAACGGATGATTAAAGAGCATTAGAATTCCTGTAGATTTTATACATATATATATATATATATATATATATATATATATATATATATATATATATCCAATTGCTCTCAGATTGAATAATTGAGCGTGAATGGGGCATTCAAAGCGCATTCGTTCCTCATAAACATTGTTTTCATTAGATTTAGTCGAAGACCATTCTTCCCCACACGCGTTGTCGAAATCGGTCAACATTTGTTCCGCTTGGCTGATGCCAGTTGGTAGAAGGACGTTATTAAGGAAGCGAAGGTGATTCAATTGATGATTCCATCGTCATATTGGAAAAAATCACCAAAGCTCGATTTCATCGTATCAAGCACGAAATAACCACCAGTTTTAGTGGAACCTCATAGGAAACGGTAGGTATGGGTTGTTACATGCTTAGTACGATTGAAATCGAGGTTTAGTGGTTCTTTCTGATGAAATAATGAAGGTGTTTGGAGGACTAGTTTGTGGGCGACCTGATTGTTGCGGGCTCTGAAGAAGGCAGGAAACCGTCGAAGCGTCAGCTGTTTGAATAAATTGCATTATATTGGCCTTGAGTTTTTGGCTTACAAAGAAAGAAATATGATAATATATTGGCAGCACCACAACGAAAGCGAACGAGTGGGTGCAAGCGACTCGATAGTCGGCCCTGAAAAAGACGGAGTTGAAGTACTATTGTTGAAAAGAAAATTCTTGGGCATTTTGATAAGCATAAGATAATTTCCATGCATATCATGGGAATATTGCAGTTTATTATGTTAGTCGTCTTTATTTTCACTTTGTTACAAGCCTCCGTCATGTCCAACGATACAATCAAAGTTCGTATTTTATTGCGTCATTATGGAGGAACAGGTCTTTCACAGTGAGCTGCAGTCGATAAAATCAACGAAGTCGAAGGGGAACGCACAAGAAGCAAATGTGACTTGAACGTTCTAATGCCGGAGATCTTGACCTCGAAGACAAGCGTCGGTCAGATGTGCAACAAAGTCGAGCAACGAAGATTAAATGATTGCTGCTTTGAAAGATGAACCGTCGCCAAGTGCTGCTAATTGGCAGCAGAATTTGCTGGTTCTCTTATGACCAAACCCAAAACTTGGCAGACCGCTGGCAGATGGTCGAAGAAAACGATGGTCTTTATCTTAAACATTATCTATTAATGCTTTGTTTGGAAGTCATGCATAAATTATTAATTTACACGCGCTCCAGAACTTTCTTCGCAACCTAATAAAATCTCCTTTCTATCACTAGTACTCGCTCAAACACCGAAAAACTATCATATGAAATTTAGAAATTGAAACAAAATATCAATCGGATCTACTCGAGGCATATCCGATCATTACAAGCAGCAAGACCGGATTTCTCAATCATTGGCATCTACTGAGTTCCATCTCAATCCAAAATGTTACAAATTTTATGATAAGTCTATTCAAGAAAAAAACATTCTTCCAGATATTATTTGAGTACAATTACTGGATTCAGTGAGAATTTTTTTTCGAGGGAAAGCAGGCTCATGTCTCTTCCACATTTATAGATGCAAGTGCTTGGTGGATCTATAGCGCAGGGGATGTATCATTTGCTATTAGTATAAGGACTCGAGTTCGAGTTCGTGTCGGTGCGATGACGATAATGTGCCGCTGTAAAGCGTTCATCGGTGAACGTTTATGGAGAAAACGAGGCACAGGGGCCATCTGAGTTCCGTGTCAGTTGAATACTGCTGCTCTGTGGTCCAAGTGTACCCTTCGTGCGTTTTTGTTCGACACTAGTAATTTCGCCATGACAAGAATGTCTGTCAGATCTCTGTCGTGTACGGTGATGATCCGTGGGGTTTTCTCGCTCTCAGGAAACATAAAAAACATCTTCTTTCAATAAAGGTGTTGTCTCATCAATAGTTTTCTTGCTGTGTATTCGGTATCACATAGACGCAAACGTGAACTCCTTTAATTCTATTATTTTGCCAGTTGTTGTGCTGTGAGTTTAACGATTTCACATCTGAACCATCTTATCCTTAACAAGTTGGCTGAGATGTATAATTGGTATTAATACTTATATGACAATGCCACCTCAACAGGAGTCAAACAGCAGCTTTGATCAACTTTAAAATAATATATCTCAGCACATAGTGCGTTTTAGTACTCGCAAATTTTTTTTTCTTATAATGAAATTACGATTTTTTGCAATAAGATGGTTCTGCATTCCTGTTAAAAGGCTCGTAATTTCTAGCGGAATTTCGTTCCGTAAGACACGATAGTGTTTCCCGACATATCGTTTTGGTTTACATTTGCTGATCTTCCATCGAAGATTTTAGAAACAAGAATCAATAATTTTCATGAATTTTTTACTCCTGAAACTACTTTGTATGAAACCTTCATATTCACGTGCGTTTTAAACCTCTCTTAAAGCAATATAATCTGATAATGTATCCATTTATGGACAATTATACAGTGCAATACCCATAAAAGACCTCATGAAAGGCGTAAAAAAGAACATTGTGAAATTGAATTGTTTCGAACGAGGTCTGAAAAATCAGTCGAGTATGAAGATATTATCAAAAATACCAATTTTGAGCAGTCGATTGTCAATCATGCAATGTCCTGTGATTATCTCACTGGGCATGCAGATATGCTAGCTATGCCGTTTGTGAAGTGAAATTTCATTTTACACGCCCCTCGATCTAAAGGGACTTTACCCCCGAAGGGCACCAGTCCAGATGAAAGACACTGTACAACTGACGAGGCTGCAAGGCCGAAACACGTGTGTTGCACTGAGTAAGTGTCCATAAAAGGCCTCATGAAAGGCTCGGAAAGTAATATATTGTCATACTCTATGAAAATCATAAAGGTTAAAAGGGATAAAGCTCTCGGCGTTGCTTAATTCCTGAGGAACGCGCCATGCATTCGTCTCCACTTTTTAACCTCGTTCTGAGGTGATCAAATGCATATTTGGTCTTTACAATGGCTTGCGGCTGCCTCCCACTTTATCGAGTCAGTGCTGTTCATCCTCCCAGACGAGTCTGCGACCACTGAGGTACTAGTTTACCGACCCCGGAGGGATGGATGGCTTGGTGAGCCTTGAGCGCGAGGTCGAACCGTTGACCTTATATGAGACGCAAGCACCTCTAACTACTGCGCCACATGCGTCTTAATGATAATCATAGATTCTATGAAACTTATGGATCCTAGTAATGTGAGGGAGAAAGGCAGGCTTTTCTGTACAGATTCATATCTAGTGAATTTCTTGATCAAGAAGCAATCGTCACTTATCGGAAAACCTACTCCGTTGCGAATGGACTGACCAATCACGGTCACCGTCTACTTAATCTGTACTACTTCCTACCGCGAGCAAGAAGCGAACGCTAGTTAACTGATTGTTTTGTCTTAAAAGCTCCATGGTGATCCATTGAAATCCTTGCTTTTTTTGTACAGCTACTTTCCAGGTAACTAATTATATTCACCAAGCAGTAGAACTATGAAGGATATTTGTGTCTCCACGATTAAAAAGGTGTAAGTTACAACTAGGATTCTTTCCATTTAACTGCTTTTTGCGATGGTTTGATGTTATGGTACACCCTGTCATGTAGGGTAATGTGCAGAACATTTGCGTCAGACGGGACTTGAACCCGTATTTCACCCAATTCGCAGACGCGTGCACTATTCTTTGCGCCACTGGCGCTTGTTTTTTCGCCACCCTTTCCAGATATATTTGTCGTAGCGTAGAAAGAGTGATGGAAAATGGATGTCAGTAGTGCAACGGGTTAGATCACGCGCTCTGGGATAGGGTGAGATGCGGATTCGAGTCCCCCTGACGCGAAGTTTTGCCCGTCACTCTGCATCACTTGGGTTTATCTCTGAAACTACAGAATGATCTTTTTATAGTTTCATCAGTTCCTCTTAAATTTTGAAGTTGAGATTGTTTCTTTTCTTCTTGAATATCTTATTCTATTCCACTATCTACTTTGCCATCATCTTGTCGATCGTTCACACTGTTGCTCAGGTAGAAGTTCTTTCTTCGTGGAACTTTGGCTGATCTAAATATTTACAAGGCTCATCCATTCCTCATATAGGCTTACCAAAGTCAATCTTACTACTTCTCATCTTAAGATTTTTTCTTCCGTCAACTTCTTCCCATTTCACAGGATGATTTCCTGTTATGTTATGATAATCTCAGGTGTTAATCGGTGAACAGAAACGACGAATAATATATATTGAAATCTGACGCAAACTTGGAAGCTGCCTGATCTCTTTTTCTTCTAAATTCCAGTTAATAGTAAATAAATGTCTACCCTACTGGAAGTCGTGGGAAGTAGTACTAGCACTGGTGGGCTTTGTTTTTGAAGTGGAGTATTCGGATCACTTCTTCGTCATCAGGTCTAAAGTTCCTGACTGTAGGGTGCTTGAGAACTTTGTTCACTTGTTAAGGTACCAGTTTAGAGAAAACTGTCCGGAGAATCTCACAGCCAATTTATGCGCACAAACTATCTATTTGAGAGAGTTTTCATTTCATGTAAGTGCTGTTATTATTTTAAATTCATTTAGCGAAGTTTTTTGTAGATTTTGCTTGCACGTATGGTCTATTTTCCCTCTTATTTGCGATGTCGTTACTACTGCAAATAACAGCACTCGCCGCTTGCAGTCTATACGGTTTATTTCATCGGATCAGATTTCTAGCCTTCCAAGCATTTCACCGTCAGCTACAGTATCATATTATCGTGAAATATCGATTATCACTGTGCAATCCTGTATTATAAACCAAATGTCCAGAAATAGAAACCCGATCAGCACAATGGGAAACCGTATGAGCTACGCCGGCAGGCCAGGTAATGATTAAGTCGTAATAAAGATGAAGAACTCGGGTAGAAACGACTTTCAATCAGCAACAACTGATCGTCAAACAGTCTTTTAGAGCAAAGTTTAGACTTTCTTTGTACAGCAGAGCATTTTATAAAAACTTAAATCAGTGCCTGTACTGGAAACATCTAAGAAAAGAAAGTTACGCTCTAACGAACTAACAATATGCACTGGCTGGGACATTCCATCGACTTATTCAATAAGTGCGTCTCAGAGTATCCATGTTATTAATGAATGATAAAAGAAAGATTGGTCGGTGGCCATCGATATTGTAAGGAAATCTCATGTATTCGAATCCATTCGTAGCATCGTGATGGATGAGAATTGCCGTTCTTGAAATGGTAACCCAGTCTTCGGTCAAAGTGAGACTCCTCATCTCTGGTCGTGACCTCATGTAGTGGAGGAATGAAATAACTATCAGATTATTCGTCTTCTTCGGCATACTAGATTTATCAGGTCCATTCATGGTCGAAATCTCTGATCTTATCATCATAAAACCGTTGCCTGCCTAAGGCTTCACAATCTCTCACTCAGTTCTCACAAGATAGTTTACTAGAATCGGCTAAAGGTAGTTGAGAGACTAAAATTTCACTCACTGTTCTAACCACTATGCACATGGATATTAAAGAGAGTTAGAGTCTTTTGTTTTTTCGATTCCTTTCCTTAGTCATTCCGCGTGTGTCAACTGTTAGCTGGCAGCTATTGCTTCCTTTCCATCGTTTTTCTCTCACCATTGCGTCCATCTGGACGAGCTGCAAGACGTGCAAAGGTCATAGAGGATGCCCTCAATATTGACTCCTCTTTGCTACTGGGATACCGGCTTCATTGAGCAAAGGTCACAACTGCTGAAGCACATGATCAAAGAAAAATTGTTTCGAGCTATCGATGAAGAGGCATTGCATGCCGATGTGCAGCATCAACTTGACAGTTTACTTATTGCATTGTACTTTTGAATGACTGTGGCGATTTTGGGTGTTATATGGGACGAGAGAGCATCAAATCTAGGAAGTTTATGTTGCGATATATGGTTTTAAAAGTACGAAATGCTAATGTAATCAATCATTTGAGAATTTATTTCTATGGGGCAGTATACAACTATAATATGCTTTGAACATAAGTGGAGGATAAATATGATTGAGATATGAATAAATATAAATGAGACGGATAGAAGCTCAAAGGATAAAGCTCTCGGCGTTTACCAATCCCTGATAGATGTGCCATTCATTCGCATTGTGCCATTTATTCGCCTTCAAATTTTTAACTTCGTTTGAGGTGATTTGAATGAATATCTGGATTTACAATGAGTCGGTCAGTGCTGCTTATCCTCCCAGACAAGTTTGCGACCTGTGCCAATTTACCGACCATTGAGGAGTAGATGGCTCGGTGAGCTATGAGCGCGAGATCGTACCATTGATCTTGCATGTGACGTAGAGCACCTCTGAACACTGGGCCGCATGCGCTCATAAGATAGCATGAAGATGTTTGAGAGCAATATATCATTGTAACATATCTTGAACCTTCAATGAGTTCTGTTTGGCGCCTATATAGTTCAAAACACGTGTTGCGACCTTACAGCCTCATCAGTTCATGGTGCCTTTTGGTTCAGTCAGTTCCTCGCGTTTCCTCGGGTACACATCCCCTACATAGAGGAATCGACGCAAGACTGTTTGCACTCAACGTACGATGAAAAAATCACGTGGCTTTTTTTCAGAGTGACTGATAGTCGATTCCATGGCTTACGGTTGTTACAAAGCATAAGTACCAACATTTTCAATCGCCTTTTCTGAGACATCGCTCAAAACAATATAATCTGATAACACATGCATAGCCATAAGTAACCTTAAGAATGGCTCAAGATTTGTTATCAGACTATATTGTTTTGAGCGACGTCTCAATGAAGTTGGTTAAAAGATGCTGTTTAACAACAGTTTGGCGAGGTTTTGAGGTTTTCAAAGGTGCTTTGGAGTCTGTGGAGGTCTTATCTCGTATTTTACCATCCACTGACAATTGAATTCCTCTAGTAGTGATAAAAATCTCATTTCCCTTACAAAGCTACCTTTTAGCTTACAAAGCTACATTTTCGTTGAAGTACGCGCAGCCTGTTTCTTTTCGTGATCTTCCAAACGCACCAGCAGAGAATGTCCGCCGTCCGCAAAAAGCTTGAGAAAGATGAATGAAATAGAAGTGATATGGGGCACAATCAGCTCCTTCTTTTCGAAATTATCAAATATTACCAATTCGACTTTTATTCTATCCCTCTGACGTTATAGCAAAAACTTTTAGTCATTCCCATTTGCCTATTTCTTTTCATCTAGCGGAAAAAACGAAAAAAAAAAACAAAACAGAATAAAAAGAAAAGCTTAGCGAAGTCTGAGAAGCTATATCTCAAGTTAAATCTATTCATTATATCAATATTACAGGTAAAGTGCAGTTTGTAGTCGCTTTAACCCCTAGTGAGCTCATAGGAAATAAAAAGGATCACGAGGTTATATCATCACCATGATGTCCTAGCTAAAGATTCTTAACGAAGAGAGTATCGGAAAAGAGTGAAGGGATTAGATGTATTTCTGCCAAAAACAGAAAGTAAAAAAGGCATCGTGTAGAAAGTATGCTGCTGCTTGCATCTCTTGAGTGAACGTAAACTACTGAGTTATTCTGATGTGCAACGACGAAAAATAGAGGCTACAAAAGTACCCGATGGAATGGCTTAGCGAGTGATGAGAATGCAGACAGCAAAGAGACTTTCTCAGATTGAGAAAAGACCATAGGATGATGCTCCTTTATACAGCTTACCAAACACGATGAAAGTGAAGCCATTCAGTGTCGGTTTGTTGCGATAGCGTACCTAAATTATTTCCACTTAGTAGAAGATTTTGGCGCTGTGACCGAGTGGCTAGTGATTCTCGCCGCTGCTCGACGCAGAATTAATCTCACAGCCTCCCAACAGTTTCAGGTAATCAGTGACGAACACCCTATGGAAAGCCCAAGCTTGGCTATACTTAATATTGTACAGATGCGTGCACGACCAATATTCTACGACGTTCGGGAAGAAGACTGTAACTTCTAGCGAGCGAAGAGACGGATCGAATGCAAGAACTACTAGATCCGTGCAATAGGAAAAAGTATGATACGGGACAAATAAAGTGATTAAATAAGTGGAAGATTATCCATAAGATCGATTCAGACATAACAAATGGTTTGTGCTGAAGTAGTTAGAATAGATATTCACATTTTTTTTCGTTATACTCTCAAATGGGAGATACTTCCAGATCATCTACATCATATTAAGTTGAGGAAAAAGTTCCTTAACATCTGCTAAAGATTCAAAGCTCATGCCTAAATTTCATTTAAAAAAACAATAAATATTCTTCATAATCAAGACCATCATATTCTCATTATTCCACGATCTTCTGCTAACGATCCGCAAGCTTTCGGATCTATTCGAAATACCATTCCTTGGACTTTGAATCAAAGAGCTCCTGACATGCCTTTTCGACATTATCAAATGTCTCTAATCGGCGCCCACGCCACTGAGATGTTCCATTAAGCGGAAAAGACTATAATCGGATGGCACAGCATCTGGACTGTAGGCTGGGTGCAGCAAGGCCTCAACTCCCTCCAATTCATCAAACATTTCTTTAGTCTTCTCTGCGGTATAATGTTTGGCACTGTCTTGCCGAAACATCGCGCGCTTTCTGAATCAATGTTGTTCCTTCAAGGAATAAATGTGAACAATAAATATTCAATGAATCTATGGATTTTTCATGAAAATATTCCAGGGGTGTTCATATAAATTCCATATCGAAACGCGAAATGATAAGGAGT